TATATATACTCTGCTAAAAAATCTTTCATAATTTTACCTTTTGGTTTCGGGGTAAATCTTGAGCATTTGACGGAGGCTTGTAATTCAGAACTAATCTTCTAAATTCCAAAAGATTGAATAATGACTGAAAAAGAACAACAATTTAAGATAACCTAAGGGAAAATTCTATTAACAGAACTATAAAAATATGACTGGTCTCAAGAGATTTATTTTTGACTATACTACTTATACCCAGGATTGTTGCCACTAGCACAAGGCCTATTTTCTCCTAGAGAAAATGTCAAATTTCTTATATACTGACACACTGTTCTTGATCATTAACAATTTTTATTGTAGTGGAAAGCAGAAAATTATATGTGGACAATTCAAAAAACCTACTATATATCATATTATTAAAGGCTGTCTTTCTTTAGGTGCTTAATAAGCAGTTTCCTCAAAATAAAAGGTACACAAATGCAAAGTCTAGAACTTTTTAGACATGTTATGGTCACTGAGTTATCTTGAGGTATCAATTTTACAAAAATATAGTACAAATAAATTTATGGGCCAGTTGTTAGAGACAAAAAGAAATTACCTATTATCTCTAAGCTCAAGGAGACACACAGCCTAGAAAACACACAGATATTATAACAAAAGAAATCTGACTCCAACATACAATAATACTGATCTCACAGAGTGTGAGAGCATATGAAAGCCGCCCATGGAAAGGCTTCCTAGAACTGTTTTATAAACTATTGCTTGTAACACATCATCATCATGGTGAATATTTGTCTAAAAAAATGAAATAAAATACGACTGAAAATATTAAAACATGTCATACATAGTAAACACACCACAGAATATTGTTTGCAAAGTTTTCATTGTACATATTTTACATATACATATATGTGTCAAGTGCTTTACAATATAAAAAGTATTCCCTTCTGGGAGTCACAGTTTATTACCCTTGAAAATCACTGTACAGGAGGCAATAATGTACGAGGTCTTAGCAAAGCTGTGTGAGCCAACATGATAGAAGATAAAGGTAGCACCACAAATCAATGATAAAATAAGGTTTTGTTTAGGAGCTGGGTGTTGGGAAAACTGGCCCACTATATATAAAGAAATAGAATCAGATATAGATATATATAGATATGGATGTGGTTTAAAGACCTAAATATGAAAGGAAAAATCATAAAGATGGTAACAGAAACTGTAGGAAAACATTTTGGTTATCTTGGAATCCCAAAGTATTTCTTAATTAAACAATATGAACACATGAGATAATTCATTTATTCAGTCATTTAATAAATATTTATGGAGCACGCACTACATGCAGACACAAGGGAGACAGGCAGCAGAAAATAAAACATATTGAGTCTCTGACAAAATAAGAATAGCATAGAAAGTGAAGAGTATGTCATCAAAAAGAAAAAGGATTTGAGAAGCATGTGTTTTCAAATATAGCTGTGTATCAGAGTAATTGTGGAACTTTAAAAAATACCTATGAAGCCTCTCAACAAAGATATAAGTACCACAGAAAACTCTGAAGTACATCAACGAATCAATGGCTAATTTCAAGAAGGACAAGATTAGCAATTCAGATCTTCTTGATTTACGATGGTGTTACATCTAGATAAACCCACCCTAAGATTAAAATATCATTAAGTTGAGGGCGCCTGGGTGGTTCAGTTGTTAAGCATCTACCTTTGGCTCAGGTTATGATCCCAGGGTCCTGGGATCAAGCCCTGCATCGGGCTCCCTGCTCCGCGGGAAGCCTGCTTCTCCCTCTCCCACTCCCCCTGCTTGTGTTCCCTCTCTTGCTGTCTCTCTGTGTCAAACAAATAAAATCCTTAAAAAAAATAAAGAAAATAAAATATCACTAAGTTGAAAATGCGTTTTATACACCTAGCCGACCAAACATCATAGCTTAGCCTAGCCCAGCCCAAAAGTGCTCTGAACATTTACATTAGTGTACAGGTGGGCAAAATCATCTAATACAAAGCCTATTTTATAACAAAAATATTGAGTATCTCCTGTAATTTATTAACTACTATACTGAAACTGAAAAACAGAATGGCTGTATGAGCACAAAATGGTTGTAAGTCTATCAGTTGTTTATCCTCATGACCACGTGGCTGGGTAGGAGCCAGCATCAAAAGAGTATTATACCGCATATTGTTAGCTCAGGTAATGATCAAAATTCAAGGTAAAGTTTCTACTGAATACATATTACTTTTGCACCACCATAAGTCAAAAAATCTAAGTTGAACCACGATAAATTTGGGCCACCTATACTCTCAAATGTTGCCAAATCCAATAAAGGGCAAAAAACTAACCTTTGGATTTGTCAATTGGGAAGTCACCTTTGCAGTAGAATGGCAGAGGAAGAACAGCAAGCAATGAGCAGTGAAGAAATGGGATATAAAGAGAACAAAGTATGGACTGTTTTTAGGAGAAATTTAAATAGGAAAGAGAAAAATGACAAAATAGGATAATCCCAACCCTACTTCTTTGCTCTAAGCTCCCACTGGGGAACATTTTCCTTCTTCCTGAATACCTTCGTGAACAATTAGAATTTCTGCTGGTGTGGGCCTGCTGGTGATGAATTATTTTCACTTCTGTTAAGAGTGAAACTTGTTTTTCTTCATTTTTTGTTAAGATTTTTGCTGGTTATAGAACTCTAGATAGCCAGTTATTTTTTCTAGCACTTTAATGACAGAATTTCTATTGACAAGTTAGCTGTCCGTCTAGTTTTGCTTCTTTATAGAGGTGATACAGGCATACCTTGTTTTACTGTGCTTCCCTTTAACGTGTCTTGCAGATACGGTGTTTTCTATAAATTGAAGTTTTATGGCAACCCTATGTCAAGCACGTCTACCAGCACCATTTTTCCAATAGCACTTATTCATTTTGTGTCTCTGTGTCACATTTTGGCAATTCTTACAATATTTTAAACTTTTTCACTATTATTTGTCATGGTGGCCGATGATCAGTGACCTTTGATGTTACTAATGTAATTGTTTTGGGGCTCCACAAATCATGCCCAAAAAGACTGCAAACTTAATCGATAATGTTGTAGCTGTTCTGATTGCCCCACTGACTGTCCATTCCTCTATCTCTTTCCCTCTCCTCAGGCCTCGCTATTTCTTGGGACACAATACTGAAATTAGGCCAATCAGTAACCCTGCAAGGGTCCCTAAGGGTTCAAGTGAAAGGAAGATTCAACTGATGTGGCAAACTTCACTGCCATCTTATCTTAAGAAATTGCCACAGCCACCCTAACCTTCAGCACCCACCGCCCTCATCAATTAGTAGCCATCAATATTGAAATAAGACCCTCCACCACCAAAAAGATTATGACCCACTGAAAATTCAGATAATAATTAGCCTTTTTTAGCAATAAATTCTTTTTTAATTAAGGTATGTACATTGTTTTTTAAATGTAATGCTACTGTATACAGAATAGCATAAACTAACTTTTATATGCACTGAGAAACCAAAAAATTCGTTTGCCTCATTTTGTTAAGATATTCACTTTATTGTGATGGTATGGAATGAAACCCATATATCTCCAAGGTATACCTGTACATCTTTTCCACCTCGCTACTTTTTTAGGATTTTCTCTTTGTCTATAGTTTTTTCCATTTTATTAAGATGTGCCTTGGCACAGTATTCTTTATATTTATGCTACTCGATTCCTACTGCTTCCAGAATCTGTGGCTTGATCTCATTTAATAAACTTGGAATATTCTCAGTCATCTCTTCAATTATTTTTTTTGCCCTGTTCCCTTTTTACTCTCCCTCTGGAACCTTAAATACACTATGTTAGAACTATTCATCATGCCCAAAATATCTCTTATATGCTCTTATCTGTATTTCATGGCTTTAGTGTGAAAATGATCTTCAGACCAATTGTCCAGTTGACTAATTCTCTCTTCAATTGTGTCAAATACACTGCTAAAGTCATCCATTAATTTCTTAACTTTATTTTTCAGTTCTAAAATTTCTATTTTGTTTTTTTAAATTTTTTTAAAGATTTTATTTATTTATTTGAGAGAGAGAGAGAATGAGAGATAGAGAGCACAAGAGGGAAGAGGGTCAGAGGGAGAAGCAGACTCCCCGCGGAGCAGGGAGCCAGATGCGGGACTCAATCCCGGGACTCCAGGATCATGACCTGAGCCGAAGGCAGTCGCTTAACCAACTGAGCCACCCAGGCGCCCTCTATTTTGCTTTTTTTTAATAGTTTACTTTTCTACTGAAATTCTCAATCTTGCTTTTAATTCCTTGGTCATATTAATAGATATTATAAACAATCTAATTTTCAGGTTTCATATTGCTGGTTATTTTATCTTAATTTTTGGATATACCCTATTTCCTGGTATGATTATGACTGATTTGAGTGCTAAACATTTATTTTTACGTGAAAAGCAGAGAAAATTCTAAGTTCTAGATAATATTACCTTCTAATAGAATTTACATTTCCTTCTGGCAGGCAGCAAAACTGGGCCATTTGCAATCCCAGATCAACTTAAACCAAACAATTCTGAGATGACGCTGGGATTCAAAAACTATAAAGCCTGGCCTATTTTCAGTTCTCATTAATCCAAGGTTCTAGCCCTCTAGAATTTAACCAAAACATTTACTAACACTCCAAGTCTGTACAAAACTTTGCTTACCTTCCCAGCCACTCAGCAGCCACTTCTGGAATTACTCAAGGATAAAATCAACCCAACAAATGAAGCTTACTCTAAAAATCCGGTTCTCTCAGAGCTTAGCTTCAAAATCCCACACTGCTTTAGTGTTATGTGATATAGTCTTCAAAAGTTGATCTGTTGTTGTTGTTTTGGTTTGGTTGGGTTAGGTTCCAGCAAAATACCACCAGGCAGACAGTCAAAAACAACCTAATAAGCTATTACCCAAAGTAGAACTTGTAACCATTACAATGAATCATGGAAATTAATATTTTTAAGTCACTAACACCCTGTATCCTCAATCACAGTCATAATAGTATTGGTCAACATATTTCTTCAAGAAAGATGGGAAGGGTAATTGTCACTACTGCCTAAATTGTGTTTGTGATTGATGCACCCTGAAAACAAGTATCCTTTCATTCAGTCCAAAGCTAAAAGGTATATTTTGAAGAGCACTTGGTAAAATGGAATTTGGCTAAACTCTTGCTAATAACAGAAAGCTATGAGAGATGAGATTTCAAATAACTTGTGGAAGACAAAGAGTGATGACAAGAGAGCAAAGGGATATAAACTGTCTATAATGAAGACACTGAGGAGAAGCAAGATCAATTCTCCTTGGTGGATTAAAAAAAAAAAAAGGAACAGTGTCACTAAAGTTCAAGGTAAGGTAGGGACTGAAAACAGATGGCATGATTAAAAGATAAAAGTCTGTATGCAGAGCAGTTAAATCCCCATATCCTTCCCAGATACAGAAAGGTCAGACAAATACCACCTCCTTCTCTGGGATACAGGATATTTAGTCTTTGGATATAATTGAACTGAACTGACTTGGGTTCAGAAAAATCAGTCATAGTGTGTGTGAGAGGGAATAAGATTCAGGGCTACAAATGGGAGGATTAAGTAAAAACCCTGCAAAGTGATCCCCAGTCAACCTTTCCACAATCTTCTTTCTCTTAGGCCTGCTTTGGAAAGCCAGCAATCGTGCTTAAAACATAAAGAATAGGAATCCAGCTTGGACTTGAGACAGAGAAACTTTCCGTGGTAAAGGGAAACAAATTTAAAAAAAAAAGAAAGAAAGAAATAGAGCTAATATGTTTACAAATACAGAACATATCATTAAGACCATAACAGAGATGTTAAGAGTATTTAGAAAATTTTAGGAATAAGTATATAGAAAATAGAAAGAAAAAAAGGTGTTTTCCTGACAACACCAAGAAAACAAAGGATTACAAAGGGCTACTCCCAGTAAATCACTGTAATGTTTACAAAGTCATAGAAAAATGTAAACACTGACTACTGACTATTTTAAACTTACGATATAACTATGTTGGGAATGAAAGAAAAGGCAATTCTAGGTATGTGAAATGAGACAGCTAAATCCCCATTTATCTCATCAGGAAGGCATGTCATTTAGAAAAATGAAGATAAAAGGAAAAACAGCTAGAACTGGTTGTAGTTATTAAGAAGCAGAGACTGTGAAGTAGGGAGGTTTGGGGCAGATTACTACTATTTTTCATTATAAGCCTTTTACTGCTATGGAATTTTTTATTTTCTCTTTGAACTACATACTTAAATTCTTTGATGAAAATTAAAGATTTAAGAGCAAATAATGTGAATAAACATGTTAAATGATATCTTAACATTTTTTGAAAACTTGCACCATCTTCTCAATCCCATCCATCATTAGGGTGATAAAAGCATCTTAAGTCTTCAATTCCACCAAAATAATATACCCTACTTTTTCCAAAGTGTCAAACACTGTATTCTATCCTGATATAAAACAATAACCTAGAAGGTGTATTCTCTGCCTTCAGGATGCTCATATTTTAGTCAACCCAGAGTGACATGACTTATGAGTTAAGGTGACCAACCATATCCTTTATCTTCCAACTCACAATTCTTTTGAATGTGAAAGAGAGCTTTAAGACTTGGTAACAGGGGCGCCTGGGTGGCTCAGTCGTTAAGCGTCTGCCTTCGGCTCGGGTCATGATCCCAGGGTCCTGGGATCGAGCCCCGCATCGGGCTCCCTGCTCGGCGGGAAGCCTGCTTCTCCCTCTCCCGCTCCCCCTGCTTGTGTTTCCGCTCTCGCTGTGTCTCTCTCTGTCAAATAAATAAAATCTTTAAAAAAAAAAAAAAAAGACTTGGTAACAGGCACCAGTAGATCTACAATAGAAGTAAACTGGAGCTGTACGAAGCAAACTGAGAAGGATGCACACCTTACTTCTGAGCATCTCAGAGGCATCCAAATGAGAAAGGTACCAAGGGTCATCATGAGAATCCATGAATTACACCCCAAAGTAGCAAGAGAGGAGTACGCTTCTAAGTAGCTACCTCATTCACTGATACCCTAGTGGAGAAAAAGCAGCCCCCATTAGTCCTTTCTAGGTGTAAGTTCCAGGATAAAAATACCCCTGACTAGCTAAGGGGTTAGTGCTCAATCTAGAACAGTCAGGCTAATATTGCTAGCATCCACAAGATTACTTAAGCCATCCTCTGTCCCATCTTCTCCCTGCTTATAGTCCCTTTCTGATACTGTGTCCCTTTTCTCCCAAAATACTGGTCCCAGTACCTAAAAAGACAAGTATAAAGCTGTACCCTCTGTAGCCTATCCCTGCTACCTATTTTGCAGTTAGAGGTTTATTATCCAAGGAAATTTCTATAATTGGCAGATATACTTACAAGGAAAAGAAGTCCCAATTGTTTCACACTAGTCCTGCCAACTAAGTAAATTCCATCCCTGAGAAAATTTTGTAATTGAAACCTTACAGTACATTTACACCATAGTTTGAGTAAGTTCCAATTCACCTGGGAAAATACAATTAAGAAACTTCCAACAATAACAGATTTCCTGCCCCACTTTTCTTTCATAGGTGAAAAATTCCATTTATGATGATAAACTTTTACATCTCAGATAGTATCTGTGGAATTAAACAATAATGTCACAAAATGAAAAAAATAAAAGATTCCAATTACTAGAGACGAAAATGAAAAGCTACTTAAATAGAATACAGTAAAATTACAGTTAGGGGAAAAAACAAAAAAACCTGAAGTGATCTTTTGACAAATTCTTCTTCCCATCCACACTTTTCCAAAACCTGAAGTTTATAATGTATTTCCACACACCTAAAGCCAATGATCTAATACTTCATTATAACCCAAACTTTTCAAGGCTAGGTCACTTATCCTAGGTATCCAGATTTCTCCAGAAAGAACTAAAAAATATATTAGTAACAATAATCCCAAGAACCCTATACTAGCCTATTTTAGGATGCTACCAGTTAAACAGCCAGTAATTTAAGGTAAAATTTAGAAATCAGTGAAATTACTTGAAATTTTAAATAGGATAAGCAATTTTTTCTAGTCCATTCTCCTCCCCACCAAAAAATACCAAAAATTTGAGAAGTAAAACAAAAGCTAAGATCAGCAAACACCACTTAGAGTAGAAATAGATGTACCACTGCTTCAATTTCAACTAAGATACTGAAAGAAGTTTATCCTATGAAAACAAAAAGTGGTTATCCCCATTTGTTAGTATGAATTTAGTTATCATTTCAAACAGGCCTTTCTTACAACACGGTGTAGAGAAATAAAAAGCACCTATTCTAACTAACAAATACTATTTGTAAGTACTTTCTTCTAACAGTTTTCTGAAAGAGGCTTCTAATCAATGAGCCTCACTAATTGGCCATTATAGTGTAGAGATAGCACCTAGTTGTCCAAATACAGGAAGCAAAGTGTATTCATGAAGACTCACATCACAGCCTTAAAACTGCTTCATACTTTTAAATAATGTGTAAATTATAAAATTTAAATTGGACAATAAATGTAAAAACTCTTACAGTGCAAATAAAGTAAGGCAAAGAGACTAATAAAATTTTAGATATTATGAATATCTAAATATTCATTAATAATTAATCTAGGATAGGAACAAAGGTATTATTATAAATTGATAATAATTCAGGTATCCCTTAACATTTTAATAGCCTGAAAAACAAATAGAGCATATCACTAACTAGTATATGCCACAGAATATTAAAGAGTGAGACATAAATCTAGAAAACCAAAGTTAATCAAATTGTATGGTATTATGTGCCACGCAAAAAAGTGGGAGAAAGTTGGAAATTGTAACACTGAAGTAGGAAAAAAGTTAAAACTACAGATTAATCACCTAGAGAACACAATTAACAATCTTAAAGAAAATGAACTAAATAACCAGAGTTAGCTGCTTTAATATCACAAAGAAGTTTATGCCATCATACATACAGGCTTGGAAAGCTACAGAATGAGGAGATGTTTTGAATATAAAAAGAAATGGCATACAAAATATTTAAATAGTACTCATCAGGAATACTAAATAACGAACTATAATTCAACTGCATTAGGAAAATCAAACAAAATATTTTCTTAAAGGGTAATAAAAATTAATTATTCATAGATGGTTTTAAGGAAATTATTTAATTCAGTGTTTCATAATCTGATGGATAACATTATCAATGTCTAACTGAAAATGGTAAAGAACTAAAAATGGTAAAAAAGTAATAATAGTCCTATCTTGTAAAAGAAGAACTAAAAAACAAGAAAGAAAACTAGTCCACATTAAGAAGATGCATAACTATACATACAAAAATTCTTCATCCTAGAATAAAGATCTCAAGAAACATTTCATAAGGGCCTTCTAAGTTAAAAAAAAAACTGTTACTTTTAACTATCAGTATTTATTCTTTACATCATTCTCACATATGCATGGAGAATTATGTCAATTTACACCCTCCTCAAACAAAATACCTCCTTATATTAAGAAGAGCATTTAAATGACTATAATTCTATGAATAACATTTTCCATTATATACAATAAACCTGATTTGATTAACAACAACAAAAACAGATCTGGTTTCAGATCTTGGTTATCTCCTTCTCAAAATTTGCAGAGAATTACATACAAAAACGTTTTTCACCCTTTCCACTCTGACAACAATTCCTAATAGGGAGGGAGCAGAGATTAATTTGAAATAAGTGAAAGACACAGGCAGTGCTCTACTGTCAAAAAACTCCATACTGGGGGTAAGGACAAGGGAGAAGTGCGGAGTCCTACAGTCCACAAATGAGTTCAGTAGACAGAAGGGCATATTAAAATCTTGCCTGCATTTATGTTTAAAGTACACAATTTAAAAGAAACACAACCCCAATCCACTTTCCATTGCTATCATACCCACTAAGTAAGACCTGTGTAAAGATCCTTACCTGAATAACAGCACTAAACCAGCAAGTATTGCCAACATTCTTTAGTCCAACAGGAGCTTTGTCTTGCCTTTTTCTATCATAAGGGTTTCGAGAATCCCTCCAAACTTCTGTAGGTGTTCTCTTTAAACATGCTTTATTTTCTGCTATGCTGGCTTCAAGAACTCTTAAGCAATGGGGAGAAAATGATGAAAAAAAGACAAATACTGTATTAATATCATGCCATACCCAAAGAAATAACATACCACAAACAGGATTTTAATTACTTAAGCTCTGGATAATGTATTTGGGGACGTACTATTAAACACTAACTTTACTCAAGTAGAAGTTAGTTTTCTTTAAGAATATAGCAGTGGCAAACATATCAAGAGATATGCAGCCTTCTTTCCTAAGAAAAAAGGAAATCTCAATTGCACAAAGACAGTGTTATAAAACAGAAAATATGTTAAATTATGTTTCAACAAATTCAAGGTTTAGTACCAGGAATATAGCACCTAGGCAAGTTTTCTAAGAAATCACTATAGTAAATATTTACAAAATAACATGACTAGTTTTTCACAACAGTTGCTTCGAATCATCAGGAAAACATTAAAAACTGAACAAACTGCATTTTTACTCCTCTGACCATGAATTTCCTTTTTTATAAAAAAAAAAGGTAAGGTAAATTCTAGGGTTCCTCTCAGTTCTAGAGATCTATGACTCTATGACAGCTAACTAAAGAGAATATTTATGTGTTTACTTCTTCACCCAAAAGTTGACCTACATACATATCAGAATAATAAAAGGTTTACCTCTTCAAAATAAGCTTACCTACAGAGTATCTTAAATACACCTATATATGGCAAGAATAATGCTACTTTGCTTAAAGTAGCATTTACATGCTGTTCTTGCTCTTAAGCATGCTGCAACATGCTGGAAAATCCTGATTCCAACATCTGAACTAACAAAGCATCTTGCCTGCTTCAAGACATGTTATTAACTACTCTATTAAATAAGCTAAGTAATTTTTGGGTGTCTTAATTAATTTTGTGTTAATTTTAAAAACCTCAGCAAGAATGAGTTTTTCCAACATTTGGCTTAAGAAAATCTCATTCATGCTATACCATCTTTATTTTAAAGATTTTGCCCTATCAGACTAATGTCAAATTAATATAGCTATATTCCTTAATTATGGAGAAAAAGTAAATTATGCTTTTATCTCTAAGCATTATTTTCAACATGATGTCAGATACAACGTGGTAGGATTCAAACTTATCATTATTTAAAATAACTTATATGAATACAGGATAAGGCCTTTCTTTGGGAATCAATGAAACCACACCCCCAAAAATAGCCGGTAACAACATGTTATAATGCAAAAATCAAAGTACATTCACACATTTAAAAATGAACAGTTTACACTTCTATAAACTATTAAAAGTAATCCAACATTAGCAGCAGTACTCTGCCCAAAAATCAGCTCTTACATGCAACCACAATCCCTAGGAGGCTTTTTCTTATAAACTATTTACCACTAAAAGGTACCACAACTCCTTGGAAGGTATTTAGTTAGGTTAATTGGGGCAGAAGAAAATCAGAATTTATCTAGAACATCCCACTGTTACCAAGTTTTCAAGAGCGTAAGGGGAAGATAAAAAGTCAAAAAGACAGCATGAAAGACTTCCTACCATTCAAGTTGTACAGTTCAGCATAATATAGTAAGAATAAACTGAAACAAACTGATTTTGTACAAGGAAACTAGTTTATGCTCAAAGGAGAAAAGTTAATACATGTATATAAAAGCCAAATATAACACAAAAGACTGCTATATATAAGGTATATTTAATTTTTTACTGACTTTTATAGTGAGAGTTTTCACTTGACAATTTTGTTCTTTTTGTAATGTATATGTATATTTAGAAGTATATAAATAAGGGAAACTTATTTCCACCTTGGTAATTAGAGATGAATGAACTAAAACAAGTTCTGGGAAAAGTAGCAACAATACCACGAACAGAAGAATTAGCACCAGTGGTCATATATAAAAGACATCTTCAATTCAGTCATACGGTAGATCTCATCATTCATTATAACAAAAATATGGACTTTAAAGAAATAGGTTTATTGTAATATTCCTTAACCATACCATATGGCACAAGTTACTAAAAGATATGAATGAAAGAATATCATGACTTTGTGACCTTCTTGATTTAGAGCTTATAACAAAGTTTTGTATCACCAGGGACTTAAAACGTGCTTCAGTAAGTTTCCTACCACCTCTTCCTGGCTCCTAAAAAACTATAAATACATTTACCATACTGCACCAAAATTATTTATTACTCAGCATCTGGAGGGTAGAAACACAGAGCTGTTTCATTCCTAAAGCATACACGATAAATACTAGGGGCTAAACAAAGTATGGATGATTAAGATATTAGATGTTGCTATCTCTTCGCTATTTTTTTAGCAAAAGCCCAATCTCTAGCCCAAATATTAATCTATTCCCAAGCCCCCATCCCTTTCTGTAGTCCAGCATTGACAAAATGAATATAAACTTTCTATAAAGCCAAGTGCTACACAAGGGTTCCTTTCCTGGCCTCACCAAAGTAAAGCCATTGATACTACCCAGGCTTTGAAGTATAAAGTATGCAATAGCTACAAACCCAGGTATTAAGTCTGTCAGTAGAGAAAAAAACTAACCCTGCAAATCTCAGAGCTCAGAAATAGCTTATAACAAAATATAGCATGCCAAGAAAGGCAACCCCAAAAGCCACAAATCAAAAACCAATTCCCACTACCCGTCACCTGCTTTCTTATCTTCCCAACACTGGTCATGACCATGCAGCAACATAAAAGGATGACAAAATGTTTTGCCCTTTTCCTTCCATACTCTATATGGAATATTTAAAGCACTTAGTTATGATAAATGTTCACCTCCTCATTAAATTTTTATTGTACTGATTTTGTTTTTTGGGTTTTTATGCTAGTTTTATTATGTTTGTATTGCTTAAATTTAAATTACTTAAATTGCATTATAGCAGTAATGTTGAAAACATCTCACTTTAGATCATCTAAGTACATTTAGGGAAACATCATACTCACTGAAAAACATACATATCATTTAAGCTGAGGAAGGAAGGAAGGAAGAAATAAACATTTTGTTCATTTCATTTAAAAAAATATATATTATTATTAGAATCACACTAAATCCATGAGTCAGTTTAAGGAGAACTGACCATTTTTACAGCGTTCAGTCCTTCAGGGCACCTGGGTGGGGCAGTCAGTTAAGAGTCTTGACTCTTGATTTGGGCTCAGGTCATGATCTCAGGGTCGTGAGATTGAGCCCCACATGGGGCTCCACACTGGATGTGGAGCCTGCTTAAGATTCTCTCCCTCCCCCTCTCCTTCTGCCCCTCCACCCTCTGCCCCCCGCCAAAAAATTACAACGTTCCAATTTGTGAAATACAATACATTTCCAATTATTTACATATTCATTAATGTGTCTCAATGATATCCTCTAATTTTCTCCTTGGAAGTTCTTGCACATTCATTAAATTTATTCTTGGTCTTTCACAGTTTTATGTTATAAATGGTAGCTTTTTAAAATTCCTCCCTATCATTCTTTTTTATACATAGAAATACAGTTTTTGCATATTGATTATCAAACAGCTCAAAACACGCTTTTTTTGTAAAGAGTACTTTGTAGAGGGATAATCTGCATATGATAAGATACACAAATCTTAAATGTACAGCTCACTGAAACTTTTTACATATGTATACACCCATGTGATCACCACCTAGATCAAGATATAGAAAATTTCCATTATTCTAGAAAATTCTCATACCCTTTTTTCAGCTAACAGTGTCCTCTCCACCTGCCAGAAAATTAACATTCTGACTTCTAGTGCCATAAATTCATTTTGCGTGTCCGTAAACATCACATAAATGGAATCACACATCAGTTACTCTTTTGTGTCAAGTTTTAATTGTTTATAGTTTTTAGTTATTATCAATAAAGCTACTATGTACTCCATTCTCAAGGGTCTATACCTAGGAGTGGAAACACTAAGTACTAGCATAGTATATGTTGAAATTCATTAGAAATTCCCACTTTTCCAAAGTGGCAATTCCATTATACATTCCTACCAACAATATGTGACCATTCCAGTTACTCCACATGCTTACCAACACTTGGTATTTTCTATTTTTTCATTTTAGCCATTGTGATACATATACAGTGGTGCCTGTTCTCTAATGGGATGCCTCAGCAAGTATGCACTACCCAGATGACCATCACTGCTGCTATCGACCATCATACCCAGCAGGGCAACATATCCACAATCATATGTTGAGGACAAATTAAGAGATTCTATGTTTCCGAAAGAGGCTACCACTGCCTGTCAGACATGTGACTCCTGCCAAAAGTTGACTTGTCTCACGATGAGGAATGATACACTGTATGGGGTGTGACTCCTGCCCAATTCTGGAAGCCTGACTACAAAGAACCTTTGACCACCCACCTCTCCCCTTACTCACCCCAACCCCTCTTGGGACTATCAGTGGTGCCTCATTATTGACACTTTTTCAAGTTACAGCATTCCTATTCCAATCTTATCAGTCAACTCTGACCACAGTCTTGCAGCCCTTGAAACTAATCTGTTTCATATTTTCAATTTTTCCAGACCACTTTTAATCTGACAGTGGTATACCTTTTATCATAAGAGCCGCTCAAAATATGGAATAATAAGCATTCTATGGATCTTCAACGATCCACAGGCATGTGATATTGTTGAGCCCTAGAATTATTTTCACAAATCAATTTAAAAAGATTTCTAATTGCCTCCCTCACCTATTCCTGTTCAACACATCTTCTTAAGGCAGTTTCCTCTCACAACAGCTTCCTAAGTAATGATCAGGATGAAAAGGGTGGGAGTTATAGAAACCTATTTTAAAAATTCAGAATCCCACCCACCCTAACCATTCCTTGACATGATGCTTTTTTCTTTGTGCTAGTGACAACTCTAGGCCATTCTGGTTGGGAAAACCCCCAGGTGGCTCCCAATCTTCTACCCAATTAATTCAAAGTCATTTCATGAGACAAGTCATTTTCACAACAAACACAACACAGACACAAATCAATTACACTGTAGTTTATTAGCAAATTTCAACTATCCATATTCCACTTGTTCCCTATCTAAGCATTAGTAACCAAGAGATAATTAAATCAATACATCCAATCCTGACATTAAGGAGTAATTATATTAAGAAGCACACTTTAAAAATGTTCAATTTCTTAAGAAATTTCACCATGAAATTTATGAGTACTTAAAACAGAGGATTTTAAGATATAAAAAGATAGGCTGTAACTCAAATAATTATAATGTAGTGTTCCAAATGTATGAATTCATATTAAAGTATGTCTGCTAAAATATAACCATCATCAAATGATTCTAGGAATTTGGCAAAATTTTATGTGAACTTAAGTAATGAATAAATAAATTTATACTTTTAAGCATGATATATATGCTTTTTCTTAAAAATACATCATTTCCCCCTTGGAATTTAGAATCCTAAGCCTATTAATAAACCCATAGGAACAAATTATCTCTTTGCCAAATGTTTAGCTAGAATTCTTACATTTCCTTTTTTCTGACACAAAGATTTACATATGTGCTTATGAACTGCACATTTTACATTTAACACTTTTTTGTTAACTGTAAATTATAAAATCTACACATACCACAAAAAACTTGTATTTTGCAACAGTAAAGTAATATGACTTTTTACTTCTACAGAACATAATTTTACGCAACATTTTATGGCATATTACACTACACCAAATCTCTGTAATGTCATGTACAATAAAAATATTTATAAAATATTCACTAATTTTAATATATTAAAATTGAGAAGACCAAGAATAAAAAAGAACACCATCTTAAGAGATATTTGTTTCCATCTGGACAAAAATGAATATCTAGAAAAATATATAAAATATACACTGAACTTTATAACAGATTAGGAATAATTTTAAACCTTTAACTTTCAAGTTATTTTTACTTATTAACTAATTAGTACGTGCTGTTTTAATTTGAAAACACATGATACAAAACTACTGCCACTATTTATAAGTATATAAGCTTCCAGACTTTATTCTATTTATATACTAATATAAATTCATTTAAACAAAAATATACACATGCTTTTAAAAACAAGATTTGGTATATATTCAGGTATATATTATGGTATAAATTTATGTACAAATATATATAATACATATGTAATATATGTTCTATTTTGTAATTTCTTACACGTAATAGATCATTTCCTTTAAATGATATCCAACTCATGTATTTCACGTTTAAAATATTTCTCATCAAAGTTTAGTCAAGTTTTGTAATTACTCAAGACAATTATTTCATTCCAATCCATTTTTTGAAACAAACCTGATTTTACAATTTCTCTAAATCCTTCAGAAAATAAGCTTAATTACAATGTCTAAAGATAATGTATGAATTTTGGGGTTTTCATATAAAATTACTGGCATTAATTGGTATTACCCCCAACTGAAAAGGACAATGAATTTTAATTTAAGTCTTTCCATCTTACTATAATGTCTTATGAAGTAATTTCCAAAGTAACACTTAAAGACATTAAAAAGTATTACTAAGAAAAATTATGTGCCTGCTAAACATAGCATTTTGAGACATCTACCACTACACAGTAATCTCAGATTACTTAGAAAGAAATATACTAATGATACCATGCTAAGGGAAATTATCTGAGAAAGCTGGTACATCCAAACAATTTGTATTAAAGGGAAAAGAACACTGGAGTCATAAGATTTACTTTAGCTGTGCACTTTTAGAAAATCATTTAACCTCTTAAAAGATCAATTTCTTCTTCAATAAAATAGTTACCACTACCTCCATAGAGTTCTTTAGAAGATTATATTATATTTTAAGGATTTTTTTAATCAACATTGTTTCATGATAAAGTCAAATTTATTTTTATTTGATCCATAAATGAATCAAAATGTTTCAAACTAAAAAGTTTTCATTATTAAATCAAAAGATACATTCTATCACACATCTTGGAATCTTGCCTATTTCTTTAAAAAAAAAAGCCTATAAATATACTATTATATTATAGATCAGAAGATGGAGAGAACTAAGGCCTATGGGCTGTATCCAGCTGGCGGCCTATTTTTTTAAAATGAGATTTATTGAACCATAGTCACACTCATTAAATTATGTATTATCTATGGCTGCTTTAGCACTACTATCCTAGAGATGAGTAATTGTGACAGAAACCAAATGGCCAACAATATTGCCTAAAATATTTACTACTGGCCCTTTACATAAAAAGTTTGTTGACCCCTGCTATAAATGACTACAAACTGAATTGGACAATGTATCCAAAAGAGATGAGGGAAGAAAAAACAAAAAAAATATTAAAATATACACCTAAATTAAATGCCTCATAATGCCACTCCAAAATCCTAAAAATCTAAACTCCAAATGCAGTCAGAACTAGAATACAGAAATTTTAGTTACAGAAAATATAAAAACAATACTAAAGTTTATTAATGGGTTTATTTAGAATAACAAAGTGTATCTTTGTGCCTCTTGAAATTAAAGCCAATTATTATTTCTATTATAAAAAGTACTTATAACTACTTTATATAAATTATGTTTTTACCTGCTAATGGCTTGCTCCTCATCAGTTATTCCAGTCTCCCTGAATGCCCTGTTTGATTCCGCCAAACTCAAGGCAATTGCTCTCTGAAGATCATCTTTATCATCTCCAGTGAGATCAATCACATCTGAAAAGCAAAACTATCTTTCTCAAAATTAAAAGCCAAACAAAATGAAGGTAATTCTTATCATGGGGATTTTATACCCAATATATCTTTTCAAACCAACGTCAGCACCAACTTAATTCTTCATAAGAGCCTCTCTGAAGAGAATGCAAACACAATTTAAATTGGTTATATTTTAAAACTTAATGTTCTTCCCTAAAAAATATGCCTAAAGCATTAAGAGCATAAATATTTTTCACTGCACAGTAATCTCAATATTTACTACGAAGCCTCTGATTAAAAGCTAATAAGCAGAAAGACTGCTAAAAACAGGATTTTACCAACAAAAATTGAAATCAGCATAATTAAACATTTACATTTATGCTTTCTGAAGTTAATCCAAATATACATACATTACAGTGCATGCATACTACCACCTAGACATTATCTAACAAGTATAATAATTAATAACAGATCTCAAAAATTATGCTTCAAAACTGACCATAAATACATAAAGAACTATACACAAAAACAAGTCAAGTGTATATGTATACATTTTTTAAAGACTGGAAGAATGTATTAAACTGTTAACAGTGATTCATTTTGAGGAGGAGGGTTATGGGAAGAGAAGTATCAGGACCTTTCACTTTCTATTTTAAATACTTCTCTACCATCCAAATTATCGAATGAACATGCAGTCCTCTCCATTTAAAAAAACTTCTCATTTCACAAAAAGAAATATACAAATAAATGATACCATTTTCTTTTGTTAGAAAGAAAATAGTCTTGATGCTCTAAGTATTCTTTTTCCAAAGAATAGCGGCAACAGCTATTACTACCTTCAGAAAAAAAACTTTTTAATCCAATTTTCCAATATATACTGGTCAATTTCCTTCACTCAAAAGATGGCAATAATACCCTCCTTGTCATAAGAACCATAATATATTGCTAAGTAGAGGATTACAAAACAGTATGATAAGACAGAAAGCTATAGCTTTGTGTGGTTAGGCTTATGCTTACAGGTATTTTGGGTACATTTTATATTCATTTTGTTTATTTGTATTTGAGACATGTTAAAAATTAAATTTTTTCTTTGTAATCTTGTAAAAAAAATTTTGCAAGATGGGAAACATAAAAAGGGGCAGGGGATGGGAAATAAAATGCCTGCATTTTACCATCTGACTCTAGGGTTATATGTAGTTACTCAAAAAGAATATGCCACACTTACTGAGAAAGAAATTATGTATATTGACAGTTTCAAAAGTCTACTTCCATTGTTACCCACACTTTTTCTCTGACAGTCACAAAAAAAATATTAAAAATATTAGAAATAATAGTTGGCTACGGAAGGTGTTTTTTAAATATCTTTAGAGAGTATAATAAAACCTCATGAAAATGTAGTAAGTAAGGTCCAAAAAAATTCAGTCAAGTAAAATGTAGAACAGAACACAGCAAGGTACTGAAATGACGGAGCATGCCTACGTACACCGGACGGCCAAAGGTTTCCTAAGTCTTGCTTACAAGACCAAATCCACCCAGATCACAGTTGTAGATGGGTATCACCTGGATGGAGCCCTCCAGTCCAGCTTCAAAACTGATGAAGAAGCTAGGACTAGAGAGGCATGATTGCGCCTCAAAAAATGAGAACTATCTTGGTTATTAAATAATGACTAGAACTCAAGTGAGTAAAGAGAGAATAAAAGAAGTAAAAAAAAATAATTTGAAAATCACAAAGAAGCAGAAAAACCGGTTTGGGGGATATGATTAATTAGCCCTCAAACTCCATTCCCTCATCCTCCTAGTGTGCTTTCTTCAACTACAGAAGGTAGAAAGATTAAAACAAAACAAAACAAAACAAAACAAATCTATTTTCCCAGTTCACTTACAGTTACACGGTTCTGAACAGAATTTAGGCTCCACCAGCTAGATGCACTAACACGGGACACAGAGGGCAGAAGTGAGTGGGCAGCCACTGTTCTACTGCTTCAGGCTATTTTCTCCAGCACGACTGAACAGATACAGGTTGTTCCACATAGCATTCCAGGGTCCAGTTTCCAGATTCGGGGATGGCAAGAGACAGAGAGTAGAAGCGGCAACTAGACTCTGCATTCCAATGTTCAGGCATAGCTCAGTGGCAGTTACCTAATTCTGCCTGCTTGTTCTCTGGCCTGCAGCTCCAGAAGTATGTTCTTGAACTCAGCTGTCCTAGAGGCAGCCTCCAGATTCACTACCTTCCTAATAGTGGCAGAGGGAGCAGCTTCCCTGGCTGGCCAGTCCTGCAAGAACCTGGGAATCATTTCACAAGGCTGAGCTAAAGATCCCTCCTCCAGTCTATCCAGTGATTTTTCTTTTTTTAAGAACCTAATCCCCTGTATTAAATTTCTTCTTTGAAACTATCTAGAGTGTTTACCGTTTCATGTCTGACAAGTAAAGGAAACTGGCTGGAGCAAACTCATTTAGAAATAGCAACAACTTATAATTAGAGCTTTTCATAACTTAATTGTAACTCAAGCAACATAAAAGCAAAAAACAAGGCAAAGTGTTCTTAACCCTATTTCATAAATAACTGAAGAAGTTGTAAGAAATGAAGTATACCATCATTAAGAATAAAGAATGGTGGACAGGCTTTAAATTTAAGTCTTCTAACTATTAAATCTTTCCTCTATACTAGCAAATCTCCAAGAGTGGTTAATGGAGCCTTGGGTATTCCCCCATGACCCTAAGAGAGAAGGGGGTTCCATAAGTAAAAAAATATTCTCATAAAAATACTAAGATGCTATTTGCCTTTCCTCCCGTATCATATTTGCACTGATGATACAAAACAATAGCATCTTTGCACAAATTGAGGCAGTTCACACCAAGTTCTTTGGGCAATTCACTGTATTACAACTATACATACTCACTACTAAAAAAAAAAAAAAAAGCCAGTTTCTCTTAGATCCTTGATAAAAAGGGAAAATTTTATTGTATTAAATCTCAAACACTGATTTACATATTCTTTTAATTCTATATGACAAAATAGGAAGTATGCATAGTACTTCTGCTGCATCTAAAGTAAGCTTTTGCTCAAGAGAAACACTAGTGCAATGCTTGAGTTGCAAGCCAATTAAACTGGCTGATTTTTTTTTCATGGAACACTATTTTTACTTGAAAAAACAACGAACAAACTACAAACTAGGAGGACTCAAACTTCAGAATTTGGCAGATATTTTCTAGAGAATAAATAAAGTGAGCCTGTCACCTGCGGGAGAACAAATGAAGGTATGTGTTGCCAATGAATAATGTGGACTTTTCAAGCAAAAATGGTAACTTTGGAAAACTTGTTTCTATCACTATGCACACATCTTCCCAACACCTAAAAGCTTTTCTGGGAAAATCAAGTGATTAACAATTTTGATTCGTTTTATAATGTAGACATTCTTCCAACATTTAGAATGAAATTTTTTCCATGGTATGATAAAATCATGCATAAGTAAATCCATTCAAAGAACAAGGTAGGGGCGCCTGGGTGGCTCAGTCATGAAGCGCCTGCCTTCGGCTCAGGTCATGATCCCGGGGTCCTGGGATTGAGCCCCACATCAGGCTCCCTGCTCAGTGGGAAGCCTGCTTCTCCCTCTCCCTCTGCCTTTCTTTCCGCTGGTGCTCTCTCTCTCATGCACTCTCTCAAATAAATAAAATCTTTAAAAAAAAAAAAAAAAGAACAAGGTAAGTTTCTAATATTTGGTCTTTGACCCATTTCCTGACAGAGTTCCTAAATCATTTAGAATTTCCCAGGTGATAGAAGCATCTTTTGCTCTAATGAGATGACTCCTGGTGGACTCCTGTACAGCTTCAGGACGAATGCTGGTCACCAGAAAAACCAAACTATGATGAGAAGCTTGGAACTTTGAGAGGAACTTTTTTCTCCATGCAGGAGAGAAGGGCTAGAGATTAAGTTAATAATCAATCATGCCTACCCGATGAACCCTCCATAAAGCTCCTAAATATGGACTTTGGAGAGCTTCCAAGTTGGTGGACATAGTCACATGCTGGGAGGGTGGCACATCCCAACTCCATGAGACAGAAGCTCCAGAGCTTGGGACCCTTCCAGACCTTGCCCTATGTACCTCTTCATCTGGCTGTTCGTCTGTATCCTTTATCATATTCTTTTTATACAATAAACCAGTACATGTAAGTGTTTCCCTGAGTTCTATGAGCCATTATCGCAAATTATCAAACTCAAGGAGGAGACTGTGAGAACTCCCAATTTGTAGCCAAGACAGGCAGAAGTGTGGGTAACGTGGGGACCCACTACTTGTGACTGGCATCTAAAGTGGGGGGCAGTCTTGTGGGACTGAGAGCCCTTACCTTATAGAATCTGAAGCTAATGTCAGGTAGAGAGTGTCAGAATTGAATTGAATCGCAGGACACCCAGCTGGTGTTGGAGAATCAGTGAAGTGTGGAAAAAAATTCACACATCTGGTGTCAGAAGTATTTTGAGTGTAAGCAAAGGAAGAAACAAGCAATAGTATTCTTACTGCTAGCATGATAGGTTAATCAGAGACTATTGGTCCTTAACTGAAAAGCTGGGGCTTTTTCCTTTAAGCAATGGAGGAGGTTTATTTATTATTTGTAATTTCATTATAATTACAATAATTTTTCTCCATGATGTTCCCATTACTCCATAAAGCTTCTTCTTTCCATAGGATATTTTAAAACAATACAGCAATCCTCAAAGACTATTATAACCTGCTCATATACCAAAAACATATGATTTTAAGACCAGATATTAATGAATTAAATGTTATTTCAACAGAATGGTTAAACATGAGTTTCTTCTTTTTCTAGAGTTAGAACAATTTCTCCCAAAACATGAAGCATGTAATGAACTTTTGTTTCACAATGAAAACTAGCCCTCTATGACTTTCTTATATGCTTATACTCAAAAAGGAACAGAGAACACACCTTGGCTATAAATAATTTCTAACTGAAACAATTTCTAATTTCAATTATAAAAATTTAGCCTTTTTAAAATTCCATCCAAA